ACATTTTATAGTTATTCTGGATAGCACAAGGTTTTTGGTCTTTTTACTTTTAATTGTAGGTTATATTTATGTACCTTTTTGTAATTAGAATGTTTTTAATTAATATGTACACTGACCCATAAGCTGTATTAGCTTTAATTTCAACCGTGTTGACTTAAAAGTTGCTGTTGCTGAATTGAAAAAGTCACCGTAGAAAGGTTGAAAGAAGATGTTAGAACGACAGTCCTTCGCTGGTCAGAGAAAATCATGTGGACATAGCCTAAACTTATGTTTGTGTCTTCTTCGCTTAATTGTGCTTGTTTTCGTACTTGTTTTTGGTATCGGTAAGCTTGGCCCAAAACTGTATTATTTTCCTTCCAGCCTGGGCCCATAAACGGGGCTTCATGACCGCAAAGGCGGGACGTGCCGATGTTTACCGTGCAGGTAAGCAACGTCCTTTGTACTTTGAAAGGTGGGAAGCCTCACAGTTTCCGAGCGTTCAGACAGTAGGAAGGGCACGAAGAAAAGAATGAGGCAGGATAAAAGGATAGGGAACTGGGGGAGAGGGCGGGGAACTTGGTCTCTCGTTTCTCTAAATCCTTATTTTGCATGGCTCCCAGGCATCTGATCCTTAAGAACAGGCTACCCACCTCGGACCAATTGAGTACCCAAATTATTTTGTTAATACACTGCCATAAATCGGACTGTGTTCTAGGCTAAGCGGAAGAGGCGACCACTGATTTTTGATCAGTTTCTTATAGCCTGGTGTTTAATAACAACGCAAATACAAGCTAAAGCTTGAGTGCAAGCATTAACGTGCTTCTTTGACAGTGGAAATGGCGGTGACATTTCGCATCCGCTTACATGAAGGGGACTTACGTACAGGCGATTTCCTCTCGCCCAAACATTTCTTGGATGCTTTTACAACCCAATTTTATTATCCATGGTATTCTGTTGCGCGCGTTTCGCGCGAGAGGGACCTCCGATAAAACAGATAAAATGCTTGGATTTAACGATTGACTTAAACTTGTTTTGATTACCTTTTCATGGAGTCTATTTTTTCCTTCTATTTAGCGAATAGTCTCTTGAGACTGGCTGTGGATGGGAAGGTTGTGATGTGCGTTTATCCTCCAAGTTTTATCTCTAAACGAGGTCAGTTCAGTAGATTTTAGGGGTAAAGAAAACCGTTATGTTCTAAAGAGAATGTTTTCCGGTGTAGCTCATCTAGCAAATGGCTACTCTTTAATAAATGATAATCCTGAGTCTCAAAATTTAATAGCAAGTTTAGCAGCCCCATTAAGTAGTGACAAGAAAATAAAAGACTCCGCTATGTTGTCAACTTATTTAACTGGAAATACTAAAGGAGCCAAGAAGCCTACGTAGCTGGTGATTTTCTTTAGCGAAAGAAGTGCGCACGAAGCGAGTGCGGCCTTCCTGAGTCAAATAGTCTTTGGTCTAACTTTTATCCCTTTCTTTCGAAAGTGCGAGACAAACGCAGAACACTATTTCGGAAGGTTTTAAAAATACGGCCGCTGACATGGATGGCGCAAGCTCCTGGTGTTTTTACTGCTTTCTCAAACTGACTTGCTTTTGCTCACATTATCGATAATAAACGAGTGTACCTTCCGAGATTCGAGTTCCGAGACGCAGTTTATATCGACTGTCATTAACCAATGGTGTTTGAGTTAAATTTTCTTTTTTTTTTCAACATATTCATCATTCTTTTCCACTTTTTGACAGCTAAATGGCAGCAGCATCCCGAAACAAAGGAGATAGCTATTCTGCAAGAAAGGCACTCGGAAAGTAGAAGATTGCGGCATCAGGAAAACGAGGCAGATGAGTTGTCTACTCATCTGCTCGCCCCTCCGGGCAAAGGCCACAGAGATGAGAGACCAAGTAGTGACGGAGATGATGAACAGGAGGGAGAGGAAAGTGAGGTCGTTTGCACCAACCCATTTGCCCTTTTATCTGACGAGTGAGGAAGGAGGAAGGAACTCGATACGTGGATCTCTTATGTCAACTGTCGAGAAGCCGGGTGAGAGAAACATAACATGTCACAAAAATGTCCTGCTTTTCAGAGAAAGCAACCACCAGAAACATCTCTCATCTGCGTCAGTGGTTATGTTACATGTCTTGGCTGAATTCATGGCTCTGAGACGCACGATCTTTTGAACTTGAATTCCAATTGGGAAAAACTTTGTTTCAATTGGCTCCAGATTATGCCAACCTATCCCGTGGAAACATCTTAGAGGTCAAACAGTTCACGCGTTTATAGGGTTGCCGCTAAAATATCCATGTGAAAATTATGGAAGACTGATACTGATAAATAAAACGGCAAGAGAACGGTGAGGGGAACAGGTTACTGTCCTTTCTAAGGGCTGCTCAAGCATACTACTTGGGATTATTATTATTTTTTTTTATGTTGTTGTTGTTGTTGTTTTTAAAAAAAGCCGTTCGAACTAAAATCGTGTGTCCGTGTCGTTATGCGCGCTATATCACATAAGGTGTTTCAGCTATTGCAACAAAATGTGGAATAAGACTACGGTAGGAGAGGGTGCTTTACCTTTCTAATGGAGAACCACACCTGTCCGTGTCATGAC